GGGGGGGGGGGGAGTATTGTACACAGGTTATTGATAAGTAGATTTTTTATGCTTTTAAAGCTCAAAAAATGATGATCATATCATGCATGATCAAATACGATACTTGTGACTTCGATAAATTTCTCGTATTTAGCTTTGTGCAACGTGTTGTAGTGGCGACTTTTTAAAATCTTTCATGGCAGCAAGCTAAGCACTTAAGTTTGCCTTGAAACTCCTCATTGGCGGGCCGGCCGGAAGTCACCCGCGTGCTGGATGTGGCCCTCAGGCCACCAGTTGCCCATCCCTGATCTAAATGATTAAATAATGTAAAACTGACCACAGGGTAAAGATGACGATGAAATGTTTGATTGCCGCTATTTTAAGCCTCAGACGGTCTTCAGCTATAGCTGTTGTAGTCAGAATTAAAGAATTTCCTCAAAATGAGGTTGTTCAAAGAACTATCTACAACAGATAAGATATTATTTGTTTGTAATCTTCCCACAGAACCCAAGTTCAAACTGTCTCTTTAAATACATATTTGACAAATAACCAGCTTGATAAGTGTCGTTTCTGTTTTTAGTGTCCCTCTGAGACTATACTTTAGGCAGGAATCTATATTTGAGGGCAGTGAGGTGGATTAGGGTAAGGTGGTTGTACCAGGGGGTCAGGGGGATGGGAGGCTATAAGGACCTGGAGGGGAGGGGCTATAAATATAGCTCTTGGTATGAGCAAGGGGCCCTTTGGTTCTCTATAGCCCTAACAGGAAACACAGTCCCCTCAAGAGACTGAGTATGGAGCTCACAGGTTTGAGGACATGTTTTTATACCATAACTGTAGACAAAACGTCTTCACGTTCCTTCTGTTCACGTGCGCCTGTGCCAGAAGTCTGTGTAAAGACATAAAGTATTGTAAAATTTTGTTTTGTATTTCTACCCTGTGTGCAAGCGGTGCCCCTCGTCCTCAAACACGCAGGCAACAGTTGGGAGCATTTGCATATATCCTTCACTAGCTAATATAATGATCCAACCTTTTAGAGAAAGCCCGATGAAGAGAAAGTTTTATGATACCTGCTGCAGGATTTTATGACAACAAACCTTTGTATCGGCAGGGGGGATGATGAAAGTACAGTATTTGAATACTGGGGAGGAGATATCTTATTCACTCCAGACAATTTTATGGCTTCATACTGCCAATTATAAACTTAACAGTAGCTTCCAATTTAAACACATGAAAATATTTTTACGACAGCTTTTGAATTTCTTATCGCACCATATCAGCCTTTGTCACTTTTATGCATGTTTTTAATCATTTTAAACAAAAACATAACACTGAACACAAGGTTGTAATAAAAACAGCACACTTTATTTGCATGGCAGTATAGAAAAGTATAAAAACATGAAAATTTCTCATCTATAAAATGCTTGTATTGAAAAAAAAAAAGTTAAAAAGGCTCCAAAGCTAGTATCAAAACATATATAAAAGATTGTCTGCTGTGTTCAATGTGTTACAGAAGTTTGTAAAAAAAAATGCTGACGAAGTACAAAACAAAATTATAAAAAGGCATTTACAAAAATGATACAAAAGGTTATACTGGGATTTGTCTGTAGTATAATATAAAAACATCAGTGTTTACTTTCCTCACTTTTTAAAAAACAAATATAAAAATTCAAGTGCAGCTTGGTTTTACTCTTACTGGGTGAAGCTCTTGGTTTCAAATCATGAAGCTCATTTCAGATTTTGAAATGTATATAGTGTAATCGTTTTCCCCCTCTTCTCTGCTGTCTTATTTATATATATTTTTATATGTAACCATTTGTTCATTAATATCGCCCAGTGCAGGATAATGTGAAGGCCATGAAAAACTTGCAATTTGAAATGAAAACTCAATTTTGATGAAATAAAGGTAATACTAGTGCGGCTGGCCTGATTTTACCATTAATAATGACTTAAGAACGGACACCTCGATCCTTGTTACTGAGTATTTCCATGAGGCCAAACAGTTGAAATTTCCAGTAGACCCAAACAGGCTTTGAAAACCAAGAGAAAAAATAAAACAAGTGAAACAGTTCATGTGTTAAACTCAGAGGTCAGTTTTGAAATCATTACTATGCTTTTGGATACATGATAATGCTAACAGGGCTTAAATACTTAAAAATTACAACACTGCTCAATTGGTCAATTGTAAAACAACAAGAGTTATGATTAAAAATAAACAAACAAAAAAAATCAAACCAATAAATTAACTTGTTCTTTATATTAATATCAAAATTTATAACTAATAATACAGCCCAATGAAAACATAGTCACCCTTTCCCCATATATAATACAACAATTACGATAAAAAAAAAACAGTTCAGACCAAAAGAGAAAGAAAAACCCAAATGAAATTTTCTTTTAGATGTAGTTTTCGCTGGTTGAAATCCAACAAGTTTGAGTGTAAAAAACACCGCTTGGCATAAAAGCCTCTCCCAACTGTTGTACCACAACAAAATATGAAATCTGCGACGCCATGTCCAGCGCAGCGTGCCTCGATGTGTCCAGATGTGTCTCTGTCTACATCACCAGTGTCCTCGTAGGGTAAGTGTTGACGTACTTGTGGCTCTGCTCGGAGGCCATCGTGTGCTCCTCGGTCTTCCCGCAGGTCGTCTGCTCCCAGGAGCTGAGCTGGTGCTGCTGAGAGGAGACACAGTCAGGGTTTTGATGCTTCGCGGGCAACAACCATCATTATTTATATAAATAGAATTATGCGTACCTGTAGTGGGCTATTCATGTCTCTGTGAGGAACGTGGTAGGTTTTGTGTCCATCGTCACTCAGCAAAGAGCTCGTAAGCAGATCCTGAATGAACAAATCAGAGATCAGATAGGTTCTACCTAAATAGTAGGGGTAAAATAATATACAGTTTAATATTAAAGAGTTTTTGAATTAGAGTTCTGTGTTCATATAATATCTTACCTGCTGTAGACAGATCTCAGTTTGGAGAAATAGAGTTTAAATCTGAGTGGATCGCCGCTTTTACAGTACATGGTTATGTTCTGCAGGAAGTGCCACAAGATCAGCTACAACTAGCTGCTGCAGCTATTATTTATACTTGCAGTTGAATTCCATGTAATTGATGGTAATGTAAAGGTTTAGAAATAGTGTTTGCATGGACCACTTTATAATCTTGGCGATTGGAGTTGTTTTAAGATGGCCAGTTTTTTTTTTCACAATTAAACTCTATTTCTCCAAAATGATGTTCAAATTATCTTTAACAGGTAACATATGATCTTATCCACAGAACACCACTTTGAAAGATTCAAACTATTGCTTTAAGATTAAGATTTGAATGATAAAGACTTGTATTGCTCAAAGATGGGACTTACGGGTACTTCCTGTGCAGAGGAGCTAGGGGAGAAGAGTTGAGTGTTGAGCTCCTGTCCTTCCCACTGCATGCAGGGACTCCTCTCACACGGGGACTCCACCTTCAACCCAAAACACATCAAGACATGACACACGACTCTGGAGGGTCATTGGAACCTAGCTGCAGCCGTGCACAACAGCCCCAAACAGCGCAACTGAAATCTATATATTAATCAGAAATGATTTGCAAATCTGAATAAAGCTCAAATTTGTTTGTGCACGTTTGCTTTCAGAGTTGCAAAGGGGAAAGAACCTACTTTTCTGGCTGGCCTTTGCTTTCACAATATATGCATGTGAACTTCTAAAGTCCCACACTGGTCTGTAGTCACATCTGTGTGCTTGTGTTGTGCGGGAAGTACCTCCTGTTTTATCTTCTTCATAGGCGGCTGATCAATAGCACACTCCATCGGCTCCTGCTTGATGGACACAACCATCTGCTGCTCCAAAGGTGTATTCTGAGAGAAAAAAACACCTCCTCCAGTCAGTACAAAGGGCACTACAGCATGTGACATATTAAAACTTGATTTGGGGGGGGGGGCTCTTACCATGAGTTTGAGAGGTCCATACTTGGTCTCCTGAAAGGGCAGAGTTGATCTGAAAGGTGTGGGTGTACGAGGACTCGTCTCGAGGATTGATCGACGGATGTTTGGAGTTCGGAATCTGGGTGGGGAAACGTGATTAGAGTTTAGACACCGTTGCATGAAACAAGCATGAAACAACGGGAGATTAGGGATCTTACATTTCGTTCTCCTTCTGAGGCCTGACAGAGTGGTCGATGAGAGGCTTGGAGTCTACGGGCATGCTCATCTGTAAACTGTCGTCGGAGTGTTCTGAGCTCATCGACTGGTTGAGAAACTGAAATGAGCAGGAGGAAAAACTATCAGTTAAATAGGGTTTTGTTTTAGGCTATAATAATCTGGAAGATAATAATCTGGAAGTGAGGGAAAATAACGAGATGCCGGTGAACAGCTAAAGAACCACTAAGTGATTGGTTGTTGACGTTGTCAGAGGACATGGGGATTGGGTGGATTCCGGTCCTACTCGGGTATTTAACTACCTGTGAGGGTGAAAAGGGTAGAGTTCTGATTGCTGAAGACTTGCAGGTGAAAGCAACTTTTGAGCTCTGATTGGGCGAGACCCTGCCTGCTTTATGAACACTCCGGCTAAAGGCCAGGATCTGGGAAGAGGGCGGTAAAATATGGGTCAAGGCCCAAAACGAGGGGGAAATAAAATCTGCGTTGCTACTTTTTTCACAATTTATTATAAACTTACCAAATCAATGACGGATTCCATAAACTCTGGAATAGGATTTGAGAACGTTGGACTGCTGTGATGGCTGCTGCCGCTGCCGCTGCTCGAGTTGTTGCGGTGGGCACGTGTCGCCGAGGCGCTCTCCTCCGGTAGGCAGCTCTGGTCGAGAGGCAGGGCCGGGGCGGCTGCCTGGTGATGAGGTAAAGACATCGCCGCGCCGTCTGAGCTGTCGATCGCAGAGCTCTGACTAGGCCAGCTTGGAAAATGCAAATTCATCTGGTGGTGGAGGGGACAGAAATGCATGTCAGAGCGTGATTGTGATGAATAAGGGAGAAGTAAGCACAAAAGACAATTAAAAAAAATGAGAAAAAGAGATGAAGAAAGGGAACTTTATATTAAAAGAGCAACAGTGTTGAGTAGGAGGGTTGCACAAGGGGTCACACACACATACGCAGGAATAGTGATAAGGTCCTGTTTCGTCACTTTTGCAGAAACAGACCCCCCAGATGTTTCCTCCTCCTTATTCACACAAACACCACTGTCCTCAAAGGCAGGGTTGAGAACACCAGCACATAAATTGTGCTGTCGTGTTTTTACTTTTTTTTAATTTATATATATATATTTATAAATTTGACTGGAACCCAGACAGATGTGTTACTCACTGGTAGTGCTGGTTGTCCTTTCAGCTCGTTTTCTGTCGACATGAGCAGCAGTTCGATCTCTTTCACCCTCTGCTCCTTCTCAGGGTCCTCCTCACTATAGTGTCTCTAAAAGGAGAAGAACGTAGGAGGAATACATTAGTGATTTCCTGTCTTGAAATAAGCTTTTCTTGGCCTCTTTTTACACGCATGCACTGTTTTCCATCACTCTGGTGACAAGCGAGCCTACCAGTGTTTTTAGACACATTTTGGACTAAAACATAAATCGGCACCAAGCTATAAAGTTACTTTAACAAACAGGCAACAGAAGTCAGCAAGTTTCACAGATAATTTCCCGCCTCATATAAACCAAAAGAATGAGGTCAAACTGGTACTGAAAAGGTTCCGCTCCGGGTCTGATCGTTTAATAAAATTCATAACGTCTTACACGTTTGACTGTTTCAACCCAAAATGGAGGTTTTAACTTAATTTTACTAAATCAAGACACGGTTTATTGCCACTGATTTCTCAGATTTAACACTCTGATTAATCAATGAGTTTAAATATGAGCAAATGTGGTATTTAAAGTTTTACATGACCACTGTATTTTAAATTGGTTAGGCCAGAGGTTCTCAAACTGGTCAGTGAGAGGTGTCTTGGGGGTCCTCGAAAATTTTTACTAAAATGTTAATTTGGTTTTTATTTTAAAAAATGCATGGAGAACAAGGAACTAATAAAAAAAACATAATAAACTTTAAAAATATATATATTTTCAAGGCATTTAGGGGTTGAAATGACTATAAATTATCTTTTAAAACAGCATGGGGTTTACGAGGGGGTCCCTAGAAATTTTTTCGCCCTTGTAAGGGGTCCCCAGACCCAAATGGCTTGAGAACCCCTGCAATGTGAGACCATGGGGTGAGAACACTGTGACTTTGTCACAAGCAACTCAACAGTCTATCTCCTGTCATTTTCACATGAATGTTTGAACAAAACACAGAAGCCTGGATAAAAATAGGACCAATATGTGAGTAACCGAACGTCTCATGTGTGGAAAAGGTTATTATCCATCTGTAGCGACGGTTTAATCTTACTTGTATGGCAGCGGTTCCATGCTGGGGGATGTTCAGGATGTTTAGATGTAACGCCATTGGGAAGGGCACCTGTTCAGCCAATCAGACAAACGTCCGTATTAATTACTGTAAACAGCACTGCTTTAGTTTCCTCACCAACATCCTGAAGCCCCCACTTACTCTGTGTGTGTCAGACATGTAGGTGTAGTTTAGTGGCGACACGGGAGACAGCTGACTGGGCGAGTGGTGGGGGAAGCTCAGGACGTGGCCGGAGGACTTGACGTAGCCGTGGCCGATGGACAGCGAGGAGCCGCTGGTCTTGGGCGCGCTCTGCAGGTAGCCCTCCTGCTCCACCTTTCGCCTCATGGTGGAGTTCCAGTGGTTCTTGATGGCGTTGTCGGTCCTGCGGGTCGCAAGCAACAGCACGAGTTGAGTGTTTACCGAAGACAGACACACCCATGACATTCTCGCGGCCTGATCCAAGAAGAGGTGTTAGAAAAAGTTTATCAGCACAGGCGCACACGAGCTGACACAGATAGAGAAAGTCACAGTCAAACACACAAACACATGCAGGCCAGTGATAAGGTTATCAGAATAAAGCAATTACAATTATCTTAACGCTATTTATCTCTTATCATTCTATTCCAAACCTTTTTTAAAATTTAATAAAGACCATCCTGTCTTCATATCCATGTTTTCTCACATTAAAACTCATAAGATGACCTCTCTTCAACGTCAGCCTCCTAACCGCAACGTTTCACAGCTAACCAGCAAGATTTCAGTGATTCACTGAGCTTCTCCTTTTCTCAGCCTCCTTCTCAGCCTCACCTGCCGGGAAGCAGCTTCGCGATTTCGGCCCAGCGGTTCCCCAGCTTCTCGTGCGCCTGGTAGATGATTCGGTCCTCCTCCTCGGTCCACGAGGTCTTCTTGACCTCCGGGTTCAGGTGGTTGTGCCAGCGCTCGCGGCACTGCTTGCCGATTCGGCCCTTCAGGTGCTTGGCGATCACGGACCAGCGCTTGGCTCCGTACTTCTGGACCAGCTCGATCACCTGTGGCGTTTGAATTTTTGAGGGTGCGAAAAAGAAAAAAAGAAAAAAAAAAGAAAATAAATAAAAGGGGAAAGGCAAAAGAGGAAGAGGAGGAAAGAGCATGTTGAAAAGGAAGTGAATGGTAGAAGAGGGGCATTGGGAAAGGGGAAGGAAGCAGTAATATCAGGGAGGAGAGGGAGAAGTAGAGGTGTGTAAAGATATGACCCGCAAGGGGAAGGTAGAAAGGATGCAACAACAACAAAAGAAAAACATATTTTAGAAATGCATATTGCATTATTAAATGATCCAACCCTTCCCCGCTAATTTCTCTCTATCTTGTCTTCATTTCTCAGCTAACAGAGGCGACAGACAACACCTGCTGCTAAGCAGCGAGGGAGTTTCCAGTGAAACATCAGCCAATCTGCTAATCATTACAGCGGCATCTGGTTGGAAATATAACTCCTTTGATTTAGCACGATACTACTCCACTAGTTGGATGTGATTAAACAAGCTAAATGTTGTGAAACAGAAGCTAAAAATGTGCAAGAGCAGATGAAGAATTGCCACACGGGGGTTGCTTTAATCACTCAGGAACAAAAAGTAATTGTTTATGATCATTACTGCCCTTTTCTTGCAAATAAAACACAAAAATTACTTGAAATATTTCCCTAAATGAGCTTAAGTGTGCCTCTTGGAAATAAATGTCTTTATATTATAAGTGCTTTAGAATCTCGCAGTGTTTTAAGTGTCCTCAAGTGACCCGAGGAGTGTTTTGTTTTCCTACCCGTTGGTCCTCCTCTTTGGTCCACGGGCCTTTAATGAGCTCCGGGTTGAGAACCTTCTGCCACCTGTGTTGGCACTGCACATCTGTACGATTCTGATCGGTTCAAAGAGCAGAAACACGTTTTTGTTATCTAATTTGTATGGAAATCGTGAGTTCTGAATAATAACAAGCACTTTGCAAAGAAGCAGCGGTGCTTGGTTTTCCATATGAAAACAGTGTGTGTCTGTCCTCCGGTCACGCCGCTTACACTTAATAGGCTCGCAATGAGTTTCCAGTCGTCCGATCCATGAAGCTCAACAAGTTTCTTCAACTTCTCGTCCTGCGTGAAAAAAAGCGTTTTGTGTTTATTAAAAGCACTGACAAGCGACCGTTGTGGGGACGAGCGATTAAAACTAGCTCCTGAAGAGATTCTGATTTGCTAAAAGATTTGTGTACCTCTTCTCGTGTCCAGCGGGTTTTGCCGAGGTGGCGTTTTCCCGTCTTGGCCATCGATCCATCATAGTCGTGTTCGTACATGTCTGTCTCCTCCTCATCTTCCTCGCTGCTGTAAACACTGCGGGCACAGAGAGAGGGAGCACAAAATGTAAAAAACGACATTTAAAAAAAAGAGGCACGGAGTCTATTAGATAATGAACACCTGTTTATTTCTGCATCACTGTTTAAACATCTCCTTAAGGAGTGCATAAAAAAATAATAACCAGCCCCACTCTCGAAGTCATCAGGTGTTAGAGACAGAGAACCAGTCATTCTTGAAGGTTTGGGTGCAGGCTTCGAGCCAAGACACCCACAAGCAGAAAGAGAACGAAAGAAAGACAGGCCGAGAAAGAACAGCCACCTGAAGGGAGGGAGGGAGGGAGAGGGATGAACAGGTTCTAGTGTTTTTGGTTTCCACAGATACTGGGATTGGCGCATGTGATCATAATTTTGTGACCCTGGCGTGTTCAGACCTGCGGTGGTATTGTGCAGCGTGCACGAACACACACACACACACACACACAGAGGAGTAGCTGGTTAACCAGTCAGGTTGACGAACCTGAAGAATGTGGAAGCAGGTAGCTTGCTTTAAAGAGAACAGGTGTACAAGTGTGTGTGTGTGGTTATTTACTGTGCATTATCTTCCTTTTTTTAAATTATCCATTAACTTAAAAAAGCTTGACTAACAAGGAAAACTTTGCAGAGGTCCACATTTTATTGTAAAAAAATGCAAGTTTCATCTAATTATTTAATTTAAACAGAATGGATCACTTTAAAACTGTGCAAAAGTTACAAAAAAAACCCAAACACTTCATTTTTGGAAACAATGAGTCACCTAAAAACTACTTAATCTGAACTTTTTTTAAAAACTCAGTGCACTTTTTACTGATCAAAAGATTTGTTTGTTTGTTTGTTTGTTTGTTTGTTTGTTTGTTTGTTTAATACCCTTAAAATAGGCAAACAACCCGCACTGGAAACCACCAAAAACTGAGTTCCCACTACCACAAAATCTGCGGGAATTAATGTTTTCCAGGCATAAAGAATAAGAAGCTATCTCAGTAAATAATGGGGTCGCAAACAAACAAACAAACAAACAAACAAACAAACAAACAAACAAACAAAGTAGTAGTTTAGGCGCACGCGCTGCAGAGGACATATAACCAGTGAGCGCCTCTCGCTTTCAGAGATGCTGTGAAATAAATATTGGTCTTCAGATGGTGGAAAATGACCTTTAAACCAGACACAGTTGAGTAACTTGAGTTAAACGTGATAAAAACGAAAGTAACAGACTGCAGAAGTCATGGTCAGCAGAAGGTAAAGCATTAAAATATAAAACATAAAGCCTGAAAATTGCTTCTGAGGTCAGAATAAACAAAAAAAAAAAACAGTATAATATGTACATTTTAGTGTGTAAATCGTGTATTATTTTCACGCCGGTGTCCACGCACCGTCCTGGTAGCAGCAGCGTGGCGCGCGCGTCTCAGTGACAGCGGCGCGAGGACCGCACATGCCAGATGACCGCCGCCACCTGTCATTGGCGCGAGCGACAACAACCATAGCACGGGTCAAGGAAACATAATGGTTCGCAAATAATAATAATAATAATAATAATAAAAAGTGCACTAAACACATTTTTAAAAAAGACACGCGCGCTATTAAGATGCGCCTTTTAATCAGTCAGCCTCGTGCAGGTTATCGCACAGATATAACATGGTAACTGCAAAAAAAAAACTAGGTAATTGCATTCAAAATAAAATGAGCAAAGTTTCAAGACAGCTTTCGTTGTTTGAGCGTACCTGTTTCTTGGCCGCCGAGTCATGTTTGAGTCCGGGCAGGCAGCGGGTGTTGAGCCGAGCGTGTCCTTTCGCTGTCTGCGCCGAGTCTGTTCTCCGTGCGAGCAGGCAGGCTGACATTAATTTAAACTGCAGCAGACTCTGTGGGCCGCTCCTCCCTCCCCTCCTCCCTCCTACCATCCTTCGCATCCCGGTTAAATTGGCGCTCGCTCGACTGCGCATGTCCGGAACACTTCACGTGCAGTCCGACGTTTTCATGTTCGCGTTTCAACGATATAGGTTTTGGTCAAAATAAAATACGATAAATAAATAAAAAAAAAAATACAACTTGGAAAAAATGTAACAACGAGACAAGCAATTTAAGCACATTTAAGTGTATTTTAATTGGCACATATCCTACCAAGCGTATTGCTTACACTAGTGAGTAAAATCTATCCAAAAACATTAAAAGCGTCATAAAACAAGTAAAAAAAACAAGTCGATGTGCTATTTAGTTGCTACTTTCATTTATTTGTTCTTTAAGCCGTAACTTTTAAAAACATAATGCGGAAAATAATGTTTTGTATTTACGAAGTGTCCTTAAAGTGTTCAAACCACTCACTGAACGCGTTTTCATTGAGCAATGTTTTAGTTGCTTCTCTTTTTCCCCTGCAACAAAAAAAGAAGAAGGAAAATGATGTATTTGGACAGATTGGACAATAAGAATAGGTTTGCATGTTAAAAAAGGCGAAGTTACATCGAAGTCGGTGTCAGGACCACCTGTTCGCGGAGTGCCCACTGGTGTTTGCAGATGTTTCCTTATGATTAAAAAAAAAATAAAAACGCAAGAAAACCTCATGTCATCCCGCGACAAAACGCGCTTTGTGCTCGCCTATAAACAGAGTTAAAGACATCCAGTAGATACAAAACTATTATTGCACGTGGAACTCATATTAACTGACTTTAAAGGCTGCCTTTATCACGTTTTTTTTTCCTTTTCCAAAGTTTTGTTCCTGAAGTTTCTTTGAGTGTAATAATGCAAATAACCCACATCCCAACTCAGAGCAAGTTGAGCCTGTTTTTCAGCTCTGAGAGATGAGTAAGAAAATAATACCCTTGCATAACTTTAGTATTCTCCTGTATTTTTTTTTCCAGGACCTACCTCTTTTTTTGTGTGTGCTATGATTATTCCTTTTTTTTTTAATGGCTGGATTTTCATCCCTCCTCCACCCTTGCTCAACTATTCATTGCAAAAAGAAGAGGTTGAGGGGGTTAATTCTTTATTTGTATAAATGTGTCTTCTCGTTGAATTAGTTCCTCCTTATTGTCTGGGTCACTAATAATTATCATCACCCTGGAACAGCCTATTGTCCCAGGGTACTTTTCAAAAACTGGCAGACAAAGACCTGTGTTGTTTTAGACAGAAAACATTTAATGCAAAACAATATAGTGCATTTTGGCAGCGTAATATAAATATTACTCCCATAGTACAATACTAAACGACACTATAGTGATTATAACACCACAAACACGCCACTTTAATTACCAATAAATGCAATCAGAGGGCCGTGATGGTTGCCTGCATGCAGCAGTTTATATGCTTCAATTCTTCCACTCACCTCTGTATTATTCCAGTCATCTTTGCCTTGAGGAGGTGATATTTCTAATCTGTCCTGATGCATCTCAGTAATCCAGGTAAAAAATCAAAAAGAAAAAAATTGTATAGGTCTTCTGGACGGGTTCTTCTCTAATGAAACGTTTCGTCTCTCCTCCAAGAGACTTCTTCAGTCTGAGAGTTTCAGGCAAAATTCAGGCTTTTAAGCCCTGCCTCCATGTGACTGATACTCACATCACATGGCTATCGTTGACACCTAATTAACACTTATTGTTAACAGGGGGGTGGAGTGATACTGGCAATAGCCGCACTGTAGGAGGGGGACAACTGAAAACGGAGGCCTCCACCTCTGTTTAATGATGGACGGTCTTTCTTCACAAAAATGGCTTCTTTTACTCCTCTCTCAAACCAGCGTTCCTCCCTTTCAAGAATGAGAACATCCTCATCTCTGAAAGAGTGACCGCTGGCCTGTAAATGAGTGAAAACTGCAGAGTTCTGGCCATTAGATGTAACTCGTCTGTGTTGGGACATTCAGCAGCCACTGTACAAAAGAATGTCCCAACACAGACGAGCTACATCTAATGGCCAGAACTCTGCAGTTTTCGCTCATTTACAGGCCAGCGGTCACTCTTTCAGAGATGAGGATGTTCTCATTCTTGATAGAGAGGAACGTTGGTTTGAGAGAGGAGTAAAAGAAGCCATTTTTGTGAAGAAAGACCGTCCATCATTAAACAGAGGTGGAGGCCTCCGTTTTCAGTTGTCCCCCTCCTACAGCGCTGCTATTGCCAGTGTCACTCCACCCCCTGTTAACAATAGGTGTTAATTAGGTGTCAACGATAGCCATGTGATGTGAGTATCAGTCACATGGAGGCAGGGCTTAAAAGCCTGAATTTTGCCTGAAACTCTCAGACTGAAGAAGTCTCTTGGAGGAGAGACGAAACGTTTCATTAGAGAAGAACCCGTCCAGAAGACCTATACAATTTTTTTCTTTTTTATTTCTAATCTATTCAAATGTCTAATTACAGGATATCAGTATATAGTAAATATGCAAGTCTGCAGTAATAGATGTCTTAAATTGAAAAAAAAACTGGGTCGCAAAAAGTCAGCAAACATTAAGAATGTCTGATTGCACAAGACCCATATTAATCACCAGCTGCCAAAAGGCAAATGCGTCAACGTTTTGTGTGAGTGTGTTACGCTGTCTGTTAGCAAAATATCTCAGGAACCACTCAATGGATTTTAATGAAACTCTCAAGAAATTATGCCTGGGTGAACCTCTACAGCTGTTTAATGTTTTGGGTCAACACTATTCAAGATGGCCACTGCAGCCAACCGATGAGAGCAATCACAAACAAGGCCTCAACTCAGCTTATTGAAACTGAGGTCAAATTTGGTGTGGTAGTAGCTGAGAGTCAACTCCAAGTCATACTCTGAGTGCTACATATTATGTGACATTTTTTTGCAGAAAAGTCTGGCATTAAAATTTTGTGTCGACCCTGTCTGTTAACAAAATATCTCATGAACTACTGGCCAGATTTCAATTAAACTATCAGGAAGTAATCATTGAATGTTTATTTACAACTGTTTAACTTTTGGCGTCAGCATGATTCAAAATGGGTGCTATAGCTAACTGAATTTAGCCAACACAAAATGAGTAAGTGGTCAAATACAGTATATAATAAATAAATAAATAAATAAATAAATAAATAAATAAATAAATAAGTCGAGTTATTTTAAGGTTTTGACAATAAACATTTTTTAAACATAATGTGATTTTAATCTAAAACTCTGTCACAAAGGGCAGCTGATGCATTCCTTTAAGTAGTGCTAGGTCTTTAGCTCCTAATTTTCCCTCGATGGTCATTTTTTATTTTCCAAACTACACAATGTTATCTGACACCAAATTGAGAGAGGAGCACCAGTGTATGCAAATGACACCATAGTGGGTCAAACAGGAAACCTGGAACCCATTGACTCTTCACATGGGAACATTTGCATGGGCGCGATTGGGCAAGTTGATGGCAGGCTTTGTGATGGCTGACCCCACTTTTTTTTTTTTTTTTTGGAAAGCTCTGTGCGCTCAGGTTGGTTAATTTGAATGATTTTAATGACAGCTCCTGAAGCCTGAGGTATATCGTCCCACAACACAAGGCTTTCAAAGATATGCATTGTTAATTATGTGTATCTGCAGATGTAACATGTGGAAAAGTGGGTTCCTAAACAAACTAGTGATAAATGTGGATAGATGTGGATACATTTGTTTGTACCCTTTGGTGAAAGAAAAACAATAAGTTAAAAAGAAAACCATTGCTTATGAATTAACAGAATAGTTAAAAAGAACAAACCAATGAAACTGGCTTTGACAAAAACTATGCTTAAAATTTGTTGTATATCTTCGCAGCAGTTTTAGTCACTCTGTGAGAATTCAGAAAAGTCCATTGTTTGGTTCTTAGTTAGTCCTGGGTGTTTTAGCTGTGTGTTTTGGGTCTTTAACCATGTCATCTTTAGCGTTCTGTGGTTCACACTTTAAAGGGGACGTGTCATGAAAAATCATCTTTTTCAGCCTTACATTTTGTTGTGTATTTGGAGTCTCCAGAAGCACAGAAAAGTTTAATTTAGTCTCTCCCGGTGGAGCGTAGATATTCTATTTGGGTCATATCTTTAACCCGTTCAGTTTTCAACATGCAAGGCTGGATGGACACGTCTTCTCTTGTTGACATTTATTAATTCATTTATAAATAAAAAGTTTCTGCGCTGCTGTATAGTCATAAACCGTTCTATCAAGCTACAATGGACCACTCTAAGGGTGGGGTGTGGGGTGTGAAGCGTCTTGTTTCCATTTAAAGAGACAGCGTCAAAACGAATTGATCTGAGACAAACCTCAGAAAAAGGGTGAAAGAGGGGCTTATAGACCTCAAATAAAGGATTTAAATGTGAAAAAGAAAGATTTAAAGCACGATATGTGTTTTTAAAATAAGAGGATTGACTGATTATAAGACTCAAGTCACCTGTGATGATGATTACAGTTTATCACGTTCCTACGGTCAAATTATTTTCTCTTTTCTCGGGAACCACCCTTCCTGTCAAAGTCATTTAAATTAACTTATTTTTTTAATAATTCCATATTCAAAACAAATGCTTAATTCTTATGCATTGATTTTCAGTCAGTAAGTTTTTCAGTTTCGATGTATTCAGTGACCATTACAGTGGGGTTTTTACTTCTTTAAGATTAGGAATAAAAACAATTTATTACAAAGACATACTGACTAAAACTAACCATCACGTTTACTTTTTTAAATTGCTTTTTGTTCCTATATTGACTCTCCTGCTGGGGCTTGACAGCCAGTGGTGCACGTTTTGCATTTTCCCTGTAGTGAGTTCCTGTCAAAGACTTCCCATAATGCCGTGTTGCCTTGAGCAAATTATGTAAAACATTACCTCATACCCACTGCCAGCCCTTCAGATGGACATCACCCCTCATCCGCTTGCACGCCCGCTTTGTTCTTTCAACA